ACGTCTACGCGTGCCAAACATGTCTAGTAGGCGCATCGAAAGGGGGCTCGGAGCATACGTTAGTAGGGGTATCCTAGAGGTCAAATTAGGAAGGCAACATTGAGCCAAAACCTCGATCCTTGAGCCTGTTAGGAGACAACCTAACCGACTCGCTTGCAGGTCGACCTGACGAGTCACTCCTTTGGTAGACAGCCGGCAATATTTTCTTGTTCAGGGTCATGTGTCTTGGTAGGCGAATGTCCCTGCATGTCTAATTACTCGCAGTCACTTAAGAGCCACTTGAACGCACCACCCTGCGGCTACACAGTAGGGGACCTCAATACCCCCCCGCGAGCAGTATAACACACCAATCATGCAACACTTGAACTCGCTTCACAATCACTTAAAAGCAACTGTCGCATCTCAAGGAGGAGACTTGCAGACACCCTTGGGCATGACTGGACGCGGCCAACATCAGTTCTAGCTTCGCTAGTGGCCACTGAGACAGCAATGCCGGTTTCTGCACACAATAAAACTCTCATTCTGGTGACTTCCGCCTTTACGCTCTTATTGTTGTGTTCTTCCTTGAGTATTCAACAAGGCGTAATTAGATGGTGACATCGTGGCTTTGGTAAAATTACAATACAGTCAGTCTCTCAAGGGATAAAAAGGACTGTCAGTGACAGCCGAGCTTTCTAGTCATTTGACAGCCTTCCTAGCCATGAACTTTAGCGCATGGGGGTGGTTTCAAGACGTGTCCGACTTATTATTTCGAGGGCTACCGTCGAGGGGAGTTCCGCAGAGTCGGCTTCACCCTATGCTTCTTTTCCCATGTGCCGAATCTGTCGGTCATCCTGTGTCAGGAGTGAGTGCACTGGCTGTCCAAGCTTCAGCGGCCCGCCTACCCTGCCATACAAAAGTTTGAGCATCGAGTTCGATTATGTCCATTTCATGCTCCGCAGCACGGTGACTTGCGCGTGGATTGGTTTTAATTAATTATTGACTTGCGCCGAAGCTACCGCACTATCCTTCTACCCGTGCCGGCCACTGTCCGGCATCAAGACAGAGCAAAGAAGACCGGAGGTAGGCTCCGATACAAGTGAAACCCACAATCAGTATTATAGCCTACAGCTCCCGGATAGAAAAGACCTCAGGCGGCGGTAATCGGTTGGACATGAGCTTGCGCATACGTGTGCCCCCACGCCTCCTCTACATGTTCGGCATTTATTACGGACGTGCAGCCCGAATATAGCGCACACACAAGCCCCATATTGCGCCAAGGAGCATGGCATTTTCTGTTCGTGTGTTAAGTGTTGTAAGGCGGTTTCAGAAGGGGCTATTGATCTAGCAACAGTCTGCAGGGTTGCAAATTCGATAGCTCATCTAACAGAGGTAATTAGATAATGAACGAGATTTGATACAGGCTGATTTGTGCCCTCATCCGCCAGTTTTTCGCTTTAGTAAAACGCGCAACCAAACATAAACCGATTAAGGTCAGATCAAGGGGTCAGCAGCAGCAGCGCAGCAGCGAGGTTTTCACAGTGTTTAGATTCCAGATAGTTTTCTGCAGTTATTTCGGATATTTATTCAAAGTGCGATGGCAGTGCATCGACCAGGTTGACACCTGAGAGCGAACTTGACCTCTTCTTGGTGTAGTGGGTATTGCAGGCGATACTACCGAGTAAGCAACATCAGAGGTCCAAGAGCAAGGGCTGACTGCCTGACATGAAACCTGCGTTGTATCAATCTCCGTGTCTTTCTCGGTAAAACTTTTATGCTGAAAACCATACCAACTTCGCGGTCATAGGGCAGTTTAGGCTAGCGTACTTTGTGTGATGCTTTTACAAGGCTGCAAGGCGACTGCGACCATGTAGCATTCTTAGGAAACTAAGCGAACATATACGTAGCGATCAACAGTTTTCGAACGTTTGTGCTTACTAGTCGTCACTGTATTCCATCACTCCGGTTGGATTGGCTGACTCCTATTGCATTGCCCATTGAGATTTTTGTACGAGCCCTCTAACTATATACCCTGATTAACGTATAAGTCAGCTGGGCGGACGTCAACAGTGAGAGGTCGGCCCCAATAGAAAGCGCGTCCGGTAGCTTGGGCATGCAGGCCACTTGCGAGAGGTGGTCTCGACTCCTTAATACTAACTGATGTCCATGAATGTGCCCAAAAACCTATTCTTTTCAATAACTTACACTGTCAGAAGAGGGGTCTACCTTGTGCTCCACAACAGCCTGGTGCAAGGGGGGTGAATTGTGCGTGAATAAGTTTTAAGGGATAGTAGACCTGCACCGCGGCTACCTCACTTTCTTCCCGCACCCGCCCGGACCCGATTGCAATAAAAAAAAGTCAAGAAGACTAGAGATGGAATCAGGTGTAGGTGGCTGACGCGGTGTGACCCTCTGCCTACGTATGCTTCCACGCCTTCCTTGGCATTTGTTATGGAAGCGCAACTTGGGTAACGATGGTTGTGCCCTGATCTAGCTTGCTGTGTTGGCTCAGCGCATATACCACGTGGAATAAGAATACTTAGAAAAATGATTTTCAGCAGCTTATTTTAAAGGGTTTATGTAATTTCTGGAAATTTCGAGTTTTGGAAGGCTTGCAGTTTGTTCTTCATAACGACCCAAATATGTCATTCGCAATATACAATCAACATTTAGGGATTATGTATCGAAGAGCC